AGGGACCTCCTGCAGTAGGTGTAACAGTACAAAGGGACCTCCTGCAAAAGGTGTAACAGTACAAAGGGACCTCCTGCAATAGGTGTAACAGTACAAAGGGGCCTCCTGCAATAAGTGTAACAGTACAAAGGGACCTCCTGCAATAGGTGTAACAGTACAAAGGGACCTCCTTCAATAGGTGTAACAGTACAAAGGGGCCTCCTGCAATAAGTGTAACAGTACAAAGGGGCCTCCTGCAGTAGGTGTAACAGTACAAAGGGGCCTCCTGCAATAGGTGTAACAGTACAAAGGGACCTCCTGCAATAGGTGTAACAGTACAAAGAGATCTCCTGCAATAAGTGTAACAGTACAAAGGGGCCTCCTGCAGTAGGTGTAACAGTACAAAGGGACCTCCTGCAATAAGTGTAACAGTACAAAGGGACCTCCTGCAATAGGTGTAACAGTGCAAAGGGACCTCCTACAGTAGGTGTAACAGTACAAAGGGACCTCCTGCAGTAGGTGTAACAGTACAAAGGGACCTCCTGCAATAGGTGTAACAGTACAAAGGGACCTCCTGCAATAGGTGTAACAGTACAAAGGGACCTCCTGCAATAGGTGTAACGTTACAAAGAGACCTCCTGCAATAGGTGTAACGTTACATAGAGACCTCCTGCAATAGTTGTAACAGTACAAAGGGACCTCCTGCAATAGGTGTAACAGTACAAAGGGACCTTCTGCAATAGGTGTAACGTTACATAGAGACCTCCTGCAATAGGTGTAACAGTACAAAGGGACCTCCTGCAATAGGTGTAACAGTACAAAGGGACCTTCTGCAATAGGTGTAACGTTACATAGAGACCTCCTGCAATAAGTGTAACAGTACAAAGGCACCTCCTGCAGTAGGTGTAACAGTACAAAGGGACCTCCTGCAGTAGGTGTAACAGTACAAAGGGACCTTCTGCAATAGGTGTAAAGTTACATAGAGACCTCCTGCAGTAGGTGTAACAGTACAAAGGGGCCTCCTGCAGTAGGTGTAACAGTACAAAGAGATCTCCTGCAATAGGTGTAACGTTACATAGAGACCTCCTGCAATAGGTGTAACAGTACAAAGGGACCTCCTGCAATAGGTGTAACAGTACAAAGGGACCTCCTGCAATAGGTGTAACAGTACAAAGGGACCTCCTGCAATAGGTGTAACAGTACAAAGGGACCTCCTGCAATAGGTGTAACAGTACAAAGGGGCCTCCTGCAATAAGTGTAACAGTACAAAGGGGCCTCCTGCAATAGGTGTAACAGTACAAAGGGACCTCCTGCAATAGGTGTAACAGTACAAAGGGACCTCCTGCAATAGGTGTAACAGTACAAAGGGACCTCCTGCAATAGGTGTAACAGTACAAAGGGGCCTCCTGCAATAGGTGTAACAGTACAAAGGGACCTCCTGCAATAAGTGTAACAGTACAAAGTGACCTCTTTTAATAAAGCAATCTATAAATATGTCAATGCGACATCGATAGTAAATCGTCCAATACCTACCGTTCTATATAAATATATAAATAGACATAAAAGACGAAATGCGGTAACATATATAAAGCAACCGGCATATAAAACATAACTTGGAGATATAATTGCATGAATAAACAACAAATCTATAGACGGAAGGTTGGAACGATGAAGTCAAAGATAATCACGTCGGTGTGAATTAGTGAGTTAATAAACTGCCGGGCAAAAGAAAGTGTACGCTAAAACTGGATTTGACCAAAATATTACAAACGTTTCCACAGCGTGACTATATAGACTGAAAACAGTGGCCGAAACACAGCAAACTAATGGCCAAAACACTGTTTTGATCCCGCATCAAATACATCACTAGCAAATAACCATTTCTTGTTTGTTTCATTTTTAGCTGAAATCAAACATGGGGTAATCTGTCATACAGACCCTGATACAAATATATCCAATACAGCCCATGCAAGTCTATAATGTTTGACAAGTCTAGATTAGAAAGTCTCCGGGCTCTTTTTTATTATACTTTTATTAAGAGAATTTAACAATTGTTTTTCTGTAAAATATGTTCATTTCAGAGACTAGATGTAAGTCATGGTAAACATGGGTGTTCACTTTCTTTTGTCCTGCACTTTAGTTGACGCCGCATCAGCAACATTGCCGCCATATGTCCAGCTACAAAGCCTCAAAATGCCGAGTCGCCTGCACATAAAGGAATGTTCATTTGTTGCGGGAATGTGGTGCGCAAATAGAAAACCCATCAAGCCATGCATATATTCATGTACATCCCATAGCTCTAGACTGCTATGTTGTGAGCCAGTGAGGTGTTAGTCAGCAACCATATATACCTATAGCTCATGAAGCGGTGAGTAATCCTGCTTAGACCAGAAAACCCAGCTGATAGTTTGAGAACCGCTCCGCTCCGTCCGAGTCTATATACACCATTCAGACACGTCACGTACAGGACCAGTCGATTCCTGTGATTCGACATGCGTGTGATGCTAGGAACCTAACTACTGATTGTTGAGGACCCCTACGGCGAACTCCGCCATCATGCTGTGCGTCTTTGAAGCGTGCGCGCGTCACACCGGTTGCGATCCAACATCGATGCAACATATACAGACTGAAATACAGTGCGATTGTTGCTAAGAGCGACCTATATTATCATTATTCTCTCACTGATGTCGTTTTTTAGGCTTAAAAACATAGAGATTTGTAATATGCTAAACCTAATGTTTTATGTAGTTATGAAAGTGTATTACATTTTCAAATCTATCTGACCAATCAGTGAAACTAGAAGACAGATCATCACCTGCACATACATTAATATAACACAGCTCACACCTCCGTGAAGTTCTCATTAAACCAATAATACCGTATGCCTAGTGTACTATAAAACATCAACTTTATATCATTAAAATAATTTCACTAGAGGGCCGGAAAGTACAAAACCTTAAAAAATTTCATTGGCTCAATCAGAACGTTGGATTCCGGAGCACAGTGAGTGAGTATGGTTTTACGCCGCTTTTAGCAATATTCGAGCAATATCAGAAATGAGCTTCACACATTGTACCCACGTAGTCCCGAGCACAGGTATTAATACATTTTACACATGCATGCTTATGTGGTAACTCTCATCCGCTACCGCAAGCTGAACTAAAATATGACCATGCAGACAGACAAGTACATTCATTTCGAAAGGGTAGCATTTCCAGCTTATAAGATAAACTGTAAAGCAATTATTCTCTTTTAGACATTGCTTTAACTTAATCAGATAGTTTTAGTATTTTTAAAATTATTTTCTATATATCGATCTATATATCATTTGTGTATGTAGCCATTTATCCATTTTCTTTTGAATACATACAAAAGGTTTGATATACATACTTTCCTTGCCGCTCGAAATGTATTAGCTTGTTCCGCTCTCTTATTTTATCAATTCAACACCATACATGATTGCACAATGTGTCTTCTCCACATAGTTGTAATACAACAAAAAGTGCATATCCCTACACCTGTGTCAAATCATACCGGCAGACTAAAACCTTTGTCAATAAGGAATGGTATTGAAGATTGTCACTCCGTGTTTAAACTTGCTGTCATGGCGTCCCATTGTACCCATACGGCGTGGAGCGATGCTCTCACTGTCAGCCCCCTGAACACGTCCTCTATATACAGTGCAGTCCGCCCCCGTAGATTGCTGACAATAGGATACGCCCATTGCAACATGGCGTCAGCTGCGCCCAAACACCCTCCGCGGACAAGCTGATTCACATATGCTTCACTTGTGCCACGAGTATGTCAATCATCTATATCTTTACATGCAGTGAATATGTTTTGAGTCCATTGTATCTCCACCCATGCAGTCCCACATGTAGACCTTCCTGCTATAGTCACGTCCATGTTGTCACAAATATCTTGAGGCGACATTGTTTATAGTTGTTATGCTCTTGATGTCTATTTCACACAATATACAGGTGAACACTGTTTATAGACTACAACACTAAGTATATACAACCATATTTACCGAGATATGTCTATAGTGTATAATTTTCTACTTGTGTTTATACTCTTATTAAACTAATTTTCGTCTTGAAAACAGACGTGTTTAAACCATATCAAGTCTGTGTATATTAACTATACATGTTCAAGTCTTATAACAATCATATCTTCAGTCAAAATGTATATTAAAACTGCTAGCGTATGTACACTTGTGGAATAAAACATGTTTAAGATTAGATTATATAATCATTTGAATTATGTTACCTTTTATGTAGCTAGCCACATGGGGTGATGTATATTATTATAAATTTGTTATATGTGCATTCTATCACAGAAGATTTCGTATAGACACGTGTCCAACATGCTGCATGCATGACGCCGTGCAACTTGGCCCATCTCCATAACCTCATATTGACACAGCGACGTTTTTTTCCATAGCTATCTCTATCCAATTGAACTATACAGCAACTTTCCTCACTATCGGCATTGCACAGTGTGGCAGCAGGAAGTTGTCGCGGAGGTTAAACTACATTATCAGTATATAGCTAATGCGATGGTAACTTGCCGCTATGTATTCTTTGTCTGTCGTCAAAGCAATTCTTTGCAAATAGGTTACACCGAAACCTTCACATAAAGCGCGGTATTTGAGTCTCTATAGTGATCTGGGTGATAGAAGGCCGATTATACGATCTTTGTCCATTGGTACAAGCCGCGTCAATAAACAGAAATCAATGAAGGTATCAGATGTATCCATACCTTGAACTCCGATCACAACCGTTTCTCTGTTGTTATTGCATAACAGATTTATTTAATGATGTGTTGAAGCATTTATAAAATATCTGCGACTATGCTAATATAATACTTTCCTGCAAACTATAGCACAATCGCGTTGACGCATTCACATGTTAAGCAGGGCAGGTCGATAGAGCAGCTCGAGTTACGCCCATAACTATGGCTAGTCGAGAGGCAAGCAGGATTTCTCGGCGTTTATTGAGGTCAGAGTGTGCGAGGCACCTGGCTGGCTGAAGCTCGATTCATTCGCGTCTTTGTTCACCAGCAGATCAGACGCTTGCTCGCCGGGCGCTGGTTTAATCCATCATGGCACCCCAGAAACGTTGTGCACAAGAAGCCGACTCTCTCCTAGGAGGGGTTAAAGCAGTTATTGTGGATATTGAGGGGACAACAACTCCAATTTCATTTGTGAAGGTAAAGTATTTAGGATCTTTGCGGCTAAGTAGACTGTTATTATTAAGTGTCGACCAACAAGGAACATGTACCGCTTCTGCGTTTCCTTGTAATTGCGCCAAATATTTGTTATAAGGGATGCGCTACTTTGATTTAACTATCATTGGGACTTCAACGGGAGGGTTTCTTCTGTCGGCTGCACCTGTCATGTTAGCGCTTTCAGCAGATGCGTTGTTTATCCACCGACATGCACGACATGGGTATCGGAGGGCACCATCGTCCCTGTAGATAACGCTGTTTGAGAATGTGAATATTAGGCATTTGCGGGTCCTCTTGTAGTGAGATGGACCTTATCCAACGGGGGGAAGTAGACAATATTACTATCACTCGTAAGTCTGCATTGTTTTTGTGACTTTGTCATTAGCCCGCTCCCGGAGTAGGAGCGCTTAAGGTACTTAGGAGCGCACGGCGTTTTCAATGAAAAACAATTATTTAAACATGACATTATGCTAAGTTATATGCGTGTTTAAGAAAATCATTTGAGGCTACTAAATGTCCGATCATTGTGTTGAATGCACATCTCTTAGGGTCTCGGTGATAAAATTTTGCAAAATGTTTATTTCCGGGTTTCTGAAAGTTGTTTTTTTCCAATGTGATGTTGACAGTAGAGCGTCATAAATTTTTGACGTTAATTTTTTCGCTATTCTGCCAAGTGGGTTAGTCTCTTTCAACTATATCATCTATTCAACAAGTGCTCTATCTCAATGGCAGATCAGTTTGTGATCTAAATTATAACTTTTAAGTTGGTGTGCCGGCAAAAGTTTTGTGCGGGGAGTTTGAATTATAGTGGGAATAGCCATGTTGGTCACGTGATAACTCTTCCATTCACTACCCTCGTTAAGCTAGTTGTAGAGAAAGGCAATATGGCGGTCCTGCACCGGACGGCCTTGAAAATGAGATTGATTTGTTGTATTCCGAGGTGGCTGAATTCTTTAAGGTTATTTAGAATATATTTGTGTATTTTCGACAAATACCCAAACATTTATTGGCAGCATGTACAAAGTTTAATGATCAGAATAGTTTCTTGAGCGTGTAATGTGAAACTGCCCCAGATGTGACCTACATGTAGTTTACCGTAAACATTCGGTAAAATGACTTCCGCGAATATCATACATTAATTGCATCTCTCTCTCAGTCAAACTTGGTTTACTTACTGTAGGTACATCTCCTGAATCGAAATACTCGTGTACCGATGTTATGGATAAAGTCCACATATTTTTACTACTGAAAAGTAGAATTGTATTTGCAAGGGAATATAATACTCGCAATATTAGCCAATCAGCTATTTAATTCAAATCAGATCTTTGTGCTCGCTTAAGAGAGATTGACCAATAACAGTTTTGAAATCTCCAAATGTACCACTGCAGTGTAACATTCAGCAAATTAAGGATGCAAAACAAAATTCTGCAAAAATAATTTTCTGAATTTCGCAACATTTATGTACCCAGTCAATTTTAACAATACAAAGTGTATTCTTTATGTTATTGATGAGTATTTTATATTAATGATATATATTTAAGCAATTCGAGGTAAAATATATTTATTCCTTGTTTTTTTCAGGACACATTATTCCCCTATATCACAGACAATCTGGACACTTACCTCAAGAAACATTATGACGACACAGAGACACAGAAAGACATTACAGCATTACGAACCCTGGTGAGGCACTGTGTAGCAATTACCAATTACTTACCTGAGTTAAATTTAGATGTGAAATAGAGATATCATATAGATAGATTGATGTTTTTTTCTCATCAAGATCCATTATATAAGTGTTGAAATTGAAAGGTTATAATTTAATGTATTTGAGTATGTATATTATGTGTTGTTTTTTTTTGTTTTTTTAAAAACATGCTATGATAGAAAGTACATGTGAAAATTAAATAAGACATTTTCATCTATTTGCTTCCGACATAAAATCCTGAAAACATTCCATTTTGCCATCACTACTGTATGGCTTAAAATAACAGCTTGCATGATTAGTAAGAGAATGCACATGCCATGCTCTTATCTCTGTAATAGCCAGCACAGAAAGAAATCAATGGTTGGTCAGTAAGGTTTTGTGAATTACATAAGAGTTACCTCCCTTACATCACACAAATGTTGGCCATTACCTTTCGAGGCCATTAACAGTATTTCCCTTGTCACGTTAGCATGCTGCTTTAAAGAGCAGCACAAAGCTGTGACATTGATTAATCCATCATGAATAGCAAAGTGCATGGACTTGTGAACTTGTTACATAATACAAAGATTTGGTGATCGGGGCAGTCATCTGGAACAGTTTCCGGTCTCTGCTTCTTTGTTGAAAGTTGAATGCATCTTAATGGTGTGTGAAGGTGTTCTGTCTGCAGTGGATCCCATGCCCCTTTGTCCTGGAGGGTTAGATCTCTGTTAGATCCAGAACTTCATGGCCTAGCCTCAGATGCTGTGAACAGCACCTGTCATGTGCGAGGTTGGGATTACATGATTATTACACAATCGGTCATTGATTTTTTCCTGTTCATTAACCCATACTTCTATCATTCAAAACTACCACTTCACATTTTACAAAACGTAACTACTCATTTTATGATGGTTGGTTGGTGTTCTTTTGTTTAATGCTGCACTCAGCAATATTCCAGCTATATGATGGCGGTCTGTAAATAATCAAGTCTGGTCCGACAATCCAGTGATTGACATCATGAGCATCGATCCACGCAATTGGGATATGATGACATGCATCAACCAAGTCAGCGAGTCTGACCTCCCGATGCCGTTAGTCGCCTCTTACGACAAGCATAGTCGCCTCTTTCGGCAAGCATGGGCTGCTGAAAACCTATTCTACCCCGGTGCTTCACAGGTCCCTCGTTTTTTTAAAATGGTTCCCTTCATGAAATTTCACACTTTACTAGTTCGAAGAAAAGAGGACCTTGCATCGGTTTTATATCTTCATCATGTTCATTGAATTACGGTTCTCCGCCATGAGTAAACTACTCAGGAGATGGATAAATATTTGTCACTTTTCTGGGGTGAAATGTTATTTATTTTCTTGATTTTATTCCAGGCTGCCAAAGACAAATCCGACTCTGTGGATGGTGTAGTTGAGATTCCTGATGGCAGCTCAGACAAGGAAGATATCCTGAAGGCAGTTTCGGAGAATGTGAGGTGGCAGATGAGCAAGGACAGAAAGTCCACAGAGCTGAAACAGCTCCAGGGTCACATGTGGCAGGAGGGCTACCAGAGCGGCGCCTTCAAGGGAGAGTATGTACACTGTCCATGCTAAATCAGCCTTTTACTGAAATACAAAATATCTGTGATTCAAGACAAATTTCTGTTGTAAGTGAACACCTGAGAACTTGCATTAAATATAATAAGTCTACAGTCCCCTTACCTTGTTATGTATGTGAGTAATGTATAAACTCTAAAAAACATTGTCCTATTACAAAAAAAAGTATCTGCTTCCATGGTACTAAGATTTGTTGGATTCAAAGATCAACTGTCACATAGGAAAAAAGGGAAAAAAAACCTACTTTAATGCTGCTTGTCTATGTACAAACACTGATCAAACATAATGTCTTTGAATGTGCTAAATTAGAGTTATGTCCCTTTTGTGGATGTATCATCATGATCAAGTTTCCAATGACTGTTGATATGGCTTCAGGATAACACTGTTATATATAAAGTGTGTATTAAAATAAGATTCATGACATCATTGTTATATATTGCCTGGTGATTGCCAATATATTTCATAAAACATTGTTAACTCATGTTACAGGGTGTCTGACAGTATGATTCAAAACGACATTATTTGTTACAGGGTGTCTGACAATAATTAATGACAACATTGTAAATGTTACAGGGTGTCTGACAGTATGATTCATGACAGTTTAATGTTACAGGGTGTCTGACAGTACGATTCATGACAGTTTAATAATGCAGGGTGTCTGACAGTATGATTCATGACAGTTTAATGTTGCAGGGTGCCTGACAGTATGATTCATGACAGTTGAATGTTACAGGGTGTCTGACAGTACGATTCATGACAGTTTAATGTTACAGAGTGTTTGACAAGATTCATGACAGTTTAATGTTACAGGGTGTCTGACAGTATGATTCATGACAGTTTAATGTTACAGGGTGTCTGACAGTACGATTCATGACAGTTTAATGTTGCAGGGTGTCTGACAGTATGATTCATGACAGTTTAATGTTACAGGGTGTCTGACAGTACGATTCATGACAGTTTAATGTTGCAGGGTGTCTGACAGTATGATTCATGACAGTTGAATGTTACAGGGTGTCTGACAGTACGATTCATGACAGTTTAATGTTACAGAGTGTTTGACAAGATTCATGACAGTTTAATGTTACAGGGTGTCTGACAGTATGATTCATGACAGTTTAATGTTACAGGGTGTCTGACAGTACGATTCATGACAGTTTAATGTTGCAGGGTGTCTGACAGTATGATTCATGACAGTTGAATGTTACAGGGTGTCTGACAGTACGATTCATGACAGTTTAATGTTGCAGGGTGTCTGACAGTACGATTCATGACAGTTTAATGTTGCAGGGTGTTTGATGATGTGCCAGCAGTTATACAGCAGCTGTCGGAGGAGGGCATCAAGCTATATGTCTACTCGTCTGGCAGTGTGGAGGCACAGAAGCTACTGTTTGCCAACACATCAGAGGGAGATTTAGTAGAAGTGAGTCCTCTTATAAATTTTATGTTTGGAACCACGTCTTCTGATTGTTTGTTTATTTGTTTGTTTGTTGTTTAAAGCCACACACAGCAATACACCAGCTATATTATGGTGGTCTGTAAATAAACGAGACTGGAACAGACAGTCCGTGATTGATATCATGAGCATCGATCCACACAATTAGGATATGATGACATGCATCAACCAAGTCAGCGAGCCTAACCAACCGATCCCGTTAGTCACCTCTTACGACAAGAATGGGTTGCTAAAGACCTATTGTACCCCAAGTTTTCACAGGTCCATTGTCTTTTTAAGAAACCTAGTGGCAAGAGCTTATCCTCGTAAATAGCAGTATACTGTAATGGATAGTACAGGATATTAACACACTTAAATCATATGTCTTGTCCTAAGAGGATAATGAATCAATCAAGTGACAGCATCAGTTCATGAATATACATCATATATCGACCCGTGAAGATCAGGGGTAGAATAGGTCTTCAGCAACCCATGCTTGTCATAAAAAGCAACTATCTTGTCAAAGAGGCGACTAACGGGATCGGGTTATCAGGCTCGCTGACTTGGTTAATGCATGTCGTATCCCAATTGCATGGATCGATGCTCATGATGTCATTCACTGGATTGTCTGGTCCAGACTCGACTATTTACAGACCGCTGTTGGAATATTGCTGAGTGCGGCGTAAATCAGCAAATAAACATCATATATCAAATTTTGTCATCAATAAAATTCATTTTGCTTTTTTAACAAGTTTTGAAACAAGTACAAATTTGTATCATAATGTGACAAATCTGTTAATAGTTTGCATTGTAATCCATTCCATTGAGCAATCGACCAGATACCTGTTGCTACAGCTCTGCACTACATTTCAAAACCACCATGCTATATAACAAGCACACATGTATTACAAGCAGAGTCTGATATCTGTCTTTACTTCCAGTTGTTCACAGATTTCTTCGACACAACAATAGGCAGCAAAACAGCGAGCAGCAGCTACAAGACGTTAGTGACGAAAGTTGGGTGTGAAAATGATGAAATTCTCTTCCTCACAGATACCCCAGAGGGTAGGTTCATACTTTTCCACGGCAGTGACAACCCTGAGATCTCAGTGCATAAGGGGCGGCGGGGTAGCCTAGTGGTTCAAGTGTTCGCTTGTCACGCGAATGCCTGGGTTCGAATAACCACATGGGTACAATGTGTGAAGCCCATTTCTGGTGTCCCCCGCAATGATATTGCTTGAATATTGCTAAAAGCGGAGTAAAACTCTACTCACTCACTCACTCAACACATAACAGGTCCCCCAGTACATCTGGAGGACAGCGGAGGTGTTGTCTTCTGTCTTGTTTGGTTTATTGATAGTCAGAGATAACTTGTAACAAATACAGAACAAATAAGAACTTCTGCCGAGTTGTGAAAATGACCACAGATGGGGAACTAACTCTTTTTGTTTGTGATTCCTCATTAATTACATTTCATCCTGCTGTGCATACTTTAAGAGATCAGTTTTATATAAGGTAAATATGTGTTTTGAAATTTCTGTATATTTCTATTTACTACAATGTCATTAAAATCAGATCAGCACTGCACCCTCATTATTGAAGAGCCAGTTACCCACATCCCGTGGACAAAGCAAGCCCAGCTCTACAATTAAAGTCTATGTTAAAATATGGAAATAATGAAAGTCTTGGAATGCTTAGTGCTTAGGAATTGGTGGAATGCTTAGTGCTTAGGAATTGGTCTGAAAGGGGGGAATTCAGTCATGTGCATGGGCTCGGAAATAATGCTCCAGCTATATAGATGATTCAGCTGTATTAGAGAACATGTCGCTATGGCTGAAATAATGCCGATGCGACGTTAACTTTTAATCCACCCACTCAGTGAACATGTTGAGCCTCCTTCTTTCTTTTATTTGATTGAAGACACAACTTATCTTTAGATAATAACATAATAATGCACTATTAATATACTCAACAAGATGTAATAACCACCCATGTCATGATTTGTTGTATATCGGATTTTCCTTGTGTACAGAGGCCAAGGCAGCAAATCAGGCAGGAATGAGAAGCACTCTGGTCATCCGGCCTGGCAATCAGGATCTCACAGAGGAACACCTACAGAACTTCAGTTGTATTGAAAAGTTTGATGAATTGTATGGTGATGAAGATTATGATGAAGAAGACCTAAAGAGGTTTGAGGGGGATGACAACGGGGAGGCTGAGGACGACGAGGAGGACCCTGATGAAGATGAAGATGATGACGAGGTGGAAGAGGAAAACCCAGAGGAAGAAGATGATGCATAAATAATGCTGCCATCCCCACAAACCATCTCACAGCCTCTGTCATATCATCCCTACTCTACGTGTTCATATTGTCATACTAGGTGCTTTTTTAGACTGATTTCTCATTGGATTTCATTTTACATATATATTTACATATAAATAGTTTTCATCTGGGCGGAGCCTGGAGACCATTACCAGTGTTTCGGACTGCTGTTGTCTTGATATTACTACCATATTTATGTGTATGATGCCCAGGAATACCACTGCTGTACAGAACATGCGGGTAGAAGTCTGAGAAGCAGACGATTGGGCAGGCTGCAAGCGGCAGTCGGGAACCACATTTTCTTGAGGAATAAAAGTAGTTTCCTAAACAGTTACGTTTTATTTTGTTGCTTGAAGAAAGAGGATGACAAATTCTTCAAATGAATGACAGCTTGACATAAACTTGATACACATTGCAGAGGTTATCAGCAATAGCAGGCTTCTACATCTCATTACCCTGTGGTTTGTCAGTGTGATGTGAAACATTGTTTGTTTGTATATTTGTTGTTTAAACCCACACTCAGCAATATTCCAGCTGTATGACGGCGGTCGGTTAATAATCGAGTCTGGGCCAGGCAATCCAGTGATTGATATCACGAGCATCGGTCCATGCAATTGGATACAATGACATGCATCAACCAAGTCAGTGTGCCTGACCACCCAATCCCGTTAGTCGCCTCTTACGACAAGCATGGGCTGCTGAAGACCTATTCTACTCCAGAATTTCAGGGGTCAATATATGATGTATATTCATGAACTGATGCCCAATCGTCTAAGGGGCCGCGATTCGCTGTGCAGAGTTGCATCCCTTGGGCACGCCAGAAACATATGATTGTGGGTTCGAATCCTGGTTCGCCCCGATTAAGTTTCTACTTTTGTCAGCACCATAACCCTTGTCTGTTACGGCAAGCATGGGTGGCTGAAGACCTATTCTACCCCGGCTCTTTGAAACATTGCAGCTAATCAATGTAGATTTATGCAATCAACTATTTACTGTTTGGTATACAATGGTATAAAGAAAATGGAGTATATTGTAGTTAGTGGGCACATGTGGTGTCTAAGGGATATATTGTGAATCCTGTCGAGGGAGGACATATTCACTTGTCATGACATCAAGATACCCAACCAGGTATAGGAATCGTGTTTTTCTTCTGTGTAATTTTCGATGTTATGCATCAAGTTTGTTTTGCACAGCATGAGTGTTTGTGTTAAAACAGATGGGAATCACAACTGGAATTATTTGTTCAAAGCTAGAGGAATAAAACACTATAGTGAGAGGCAATTGTAATACTAATAACGCTTACACGCCATTATTTACACATACTACTTTCAGTCTTCTCTATCTGACACCCAGACTTCACAAAGTCTGTTTTTCTCGCCCTTCTTAACATTCAGGACCCATTTAGTTTCCAATATATACTGCTTTAGATATATCGACAGTACTTGCATCCTTCGTGACAGGAGTGTGACATTTTTTACAATATTCAATTTGGAACTAGGTGTCCTTATGTGACGCAATTTGCTGTGCAGAGTTAAATCCCTTAGCCATGAAAAGATTCGCTGGTCATAGGGTCGAATCCTTGTTTCGTCCAAATATGATCCCTTTTGAGGAGGAACCTGACACTTCCGAATTTACTCCCACCAGAGATATGACACAATGTCATTAAAATCTGTGTTTTAATAGCAGTAGCGAGAACTAAGATCTGATTTTGATGAGATTGAGATATGACACGAGTGATGGTGATGAGGACTGAAAGGTTCATCGAGGTGATGTTGAAACCAGATCACTTTCAGGCACTTGCATCAATATTTACGATATATTGTTATCCAAAATGTGTGAAATTGGGACATTGTCTCTTTGCCATTTACGTAATCATCGACGATCCTAGATTGAATTACATGATATGATATGAAAACGAAATGGCGTTTGAACGACTTGCTAATTGGCTCTATCCTGCAGTTACGCTGGAAGCTGACACGGCGTTTTACAGCTTCTATGCTATTAATTGGTTTCTGTTTGTCTAGTTTTCAAATGGATTTTCAGGGAACTTGACAAATTAAGCCTCATTTTCAGAAGATGTTTATGTAGAATGGGGTAACTTTACATTCTGACAGTAAAATAAATGTCTCAAAATAGGTTTGATGTGATTTGGTGAAAATCCACCCTCCCTGTTGTCAGACAATGGACAGTCCCTTAAATACTTCGAATGTCGGTCTTTTTAGTTTTTAGCCCATTTTTTGTCACATGATCTTCATATTGAAATGACATGCAGCGGGTAGCCAATAAGTTGTGCCAAAATCGTAAGGGCAAATTTTAAATTATTCAACCCAAAATAAGCACATATTTTAAGGATATCCCCGAAATCAATAAAAAGGGGTCACGGATAGAACTCCTTACTGTATGCACATTCAAATTTAACGGCGCATCGGCATTTTTTCAGCCATGTTGCGACGAGACCAAGTTGATATATACACAATTTATTCATGAATACAAAGTTATATTTAAAAATAATTTATCAATCATTTTGGGGCATAATATCATTTATACAAAGCTAGGCCACCTCGCGGGGATAATGGGGACTTACGGTGCCTCTGCTTCCTGCACGATATCCCAGCAAGATTAACGTCATAACGTCATCAATATTAAAAAATATTTGGCAATGAGTTGGCTTAAAACACTGGTTTGTGATAGTTATACATCCTGTCGAAATGGACAGGGTACTGCGCGGTATCGGTCGGGTCTGCACACGGAGACACATACTTACCTTTAGAACAATATAGACTGATATTTGTATAATATATTCTGTGTTTTGGGGTTACTGTTGAACGTATAGCCGCGGGTGTTCCGGGTTGGAATAGGCACACAGTAACCGAGGTTCCGGTTTATGAGGCGATTTAACGGATCGGGTGGCCAGTTTGGGAATTTAGTTGATTGGGTGTCATCGTATCCGTGTGTCATTGCTGTTTGCGAGGTCCAGGCTCGATTATTTATCATGTAATATTGCTGAGTTCAGCGTTAGACAGCAAACATACAATACGGTAAATAATGACCCCACTCTTTAGACTCGGGTCTATTGGCAGTCCTGGTTTGAATTGGGCCATTTCCAGCCTACATACGTTAACCATACCAAAGTAACATAATTACTTTGTTAGCTCCCGAAGGAGCTATAGCTACACGCTTTCAACGCCAGAAATACATGCAAGAAAACGTATGACCACGTAAACCAACATGTTCGAGAATCTACGGCGTCATAGTTTGTTTAGAAGCTAGTATCGGAGTTTCATAAATTTTGATCGAAAACTCACTGGAAACACTGAATTTAACCAATGTCTCTATACACTATATGTTCTCAGACACGTTCGCCTTTAATTTTGTCATAGTATAACAGAGATGAACTTTCTGTGCTTTAATGTAGAGCTACGTTCCTGTATATTTAACCGCGTTAATACAAATTTAAACCTAGTTTAACACGTGTCACTCGTCAAAACTTGTACAGATACAAACAGGAAATATTTGAACACGTATGCATATAAAGGCGTATCTTATCGCATACACCTGAAATGGTTTCGTTATAACGCAATGATCTTCTGTATATATATTCATTACCCAAATTCTCCTATTACCGTCTCTATGGCAACGTGTTGCTATACTGACTCACGTGACAAACGTGACGTTTATAAACAGTATAATAATTTTGAACATTACTTGGGTTACCATTTGTTGTGATGCGCCCTCTATTCGATACGAATTTTGTTTATATAGAGCCTTCACTACTACATATATAACTGATTCACAGTGTAATTGCATAGAAAACTGCCACAAGTGTGTGTGATATCAGTGCGTTTACTTCCCCAGTCTTCCAGGGTAGATTATTGACAAGCTCGATCAATTACAAGAACAACCAGTCTTGGTAGCGTCATTTCTCGGCTCTCGCACGTTGTGCCGCGAGGTTTGTTTTGGCGTGGCTTCACTTTATTGGAGAAGCCTCGCTCTGACGCACCGCGAGCCTGTCAATACGGTTGCCATGACAATGACAGATATGGAATAAATCGATCCCGCCTAGGGTGGCCAGGGCTATCTTTTATCTTACTGGCTGTCGGTGACCGTTGGCCGAGCTGGTGTCCGTTAGCACGTGCTCTTAATGTTAAGTATCTCACAAAACTGCCCCGAGTTGTGTGGGCCGCGCATCTTTGAATGAGCATATACCTGATGATTGATAGACCGGTATTTAAATGCTGACAAAGGATAATGATTCTCTCCGCGTGCATTGACGTCTATATTCATTTTATAATGAGGATCTGAACAGATTATCACGTTTATGCAATTTATATGAGGAATCAGAAATGGTTGAAACGAATACCATTATCAGTTAGCAATAAGATGGAGAATGTCCAAAGCAATAAATGTAATGGGTCTCTCGTTGTCATGGGACGAATTTGGCCCTGATTCCCATCGACCTGTTTACGGCCTGCACTTTTCACTGTAAATATCGATGTTGATGATGAACACTGGACCATACTGAGAAGTGATTCACGGGGATATTCGACTCTGAAGCTTGAAATAAGAGCAGTCATTGGTATCACTTGCAGGGATGTGCTCTGACAATGTTCATCATTGCTGCGTTAGAGACAGGTCATATATACTGTATATGGCATAGTTATAGATGTGTCAAATAGACTGACTGTATAGGGAATAGTTAACTGTACGTTATAGACGGGCCATATAGACTAGGATATAGTTAACTTTACGTTATAGACGGGTCATATAAACTGGGGAATAGTTAACTGTACGTTATAGACGGGCCATATAGACTGGGGTATAGTTAACTGTACGTTATAGATGGGTCATATAGACTGGGGTATAGTTAACTGTACATTATAGACGGGTCATGTAGACTGGTGTATCGTTAACTGTACGTTATAGACGGGTCATATAGACTGGGGTATAGTTTACTGTACGTTATAGACGGGTCATGTAGACTGGGGTATAGTTAACTGTACGTTATAGACGGGTCATGTAGACTGGGGTATAGTTAACTGAACGTTATGGATGGGTCATGTAGACTGGGGTATAGTTAACTGTACGTTATAGACGGGTCATATAGACTGGGGTATAGTTAACTGTACATTATAGACGGGTCATGTAGACTGGGGTAGAGTTAACTGTACGTTATACACGGGTCATGTAGACTGGGGTATAGTTAACTGTACGTTATAGATGGGCCATATAGACAGGGGTAGTGTTAACTGTACCTTATAGACGGGTCATGTAGACTGTATAAAGTGTAGTCAAGTGTACGTTATAGATGGGTCATATAGACTGGGGTTTAG